ATGTCTGTTCATTTCGGATGCCCATTTTTGGATCGGGTCTTTATATTTGGGGGGACTGATTGTTTTGAGTTCTTTATATATCCTTGATAATAGTCCTTTGTCTGAGGTACAGCTGGTAAAAATTTTTTCCCACATTGTAGATTGTCTCTTAGTTCTGCTAATGGTTTCTTTTGAAGTACAGAAGCTTTTTAGTAAGATGAGATCCCAGTTGTTGATTCTTTCTGCTAGTTCCCGTGCTACTGAGGATTTGTTCATAAAGTCTTTTCCTATACCAGCTTTTGCTATTCTTGGTCTCTTGTTCCAAATGAATTTTTAGATTGTATTCTCTAGTTCTGTGAATTATGCTGTTACAATTTCAATCAGGATTGCATTGAACCTGTGTAGCAGTTTGGGTAGTATGGCCATTTTCACTATGTTGATTCTTACTACCCAGGAATAAGGGACATCTTTCCTTTTTGGGGGGTCCAGGGATCGAACTCAGGTCCTTGCGCTTATGAGGCAGGCAGTGGAACCACTGAGCTAAATCCCTGGCCTTCTTTCCATTTTTTCATATCTTCTTCCATCTCTTTTTTCAGAGTGCTGTAGTTTTCAGTGTAGAGGTCTTTTGCTTCTTTTGTTAGATTGATTCCTAGATACTTCATTTTTTAAATGCTATTGAGAATGGAATTGTTTCCCAAATTTCTATCAGTGAGTCTCTTATTTTTGTAAAGAAGACTATTGATATTTGAGTGTTGACCTTGTATCCAGCTACTCTGCTGAAGGTGTCAATTAAGAATAGAAGTCTTTTGGCAGAGTTTTTTTGGGGCTTCTATGTAGAGTACCATATTGTCAGCACATAATGACAGTTTAACTTTTTCCTTTCTTGTCTTTATTGCTTTAATTTCTTTTTTATGCCTAAGTGCTGTGGCTAATGTTTCCATAACTATGCTGAACAGAAGTGGTGATAGTGGACATCCTTGTCTTGTTCCTGATTTTAACATGAATGTTTTCAGTTTTTGGCCATTTAATATGATGTTGGTTGTTGGTTTTTCATAGATAGCTTTATTAAGTTAAGATAAAGACCATCTATTCCAATTTTCTGAAGGGTTTTTTTTATCATGAATGTGTGTTGAATTTTGTAGAATGGTTTTTCTGCAACTATTGAGATCATCGTATTGTTTTTGTCCTTGACTCTGTTAATATAGTGTATTACATTTATTGATTTATGAATGTTGATTTTTCTTGATGAACCTGTGTATTTTGTTTATCACCTTTTTAAAGTAACTAGAAAATTAAAAAGTATTCATGTACAGTATTTTGTGTGTATTTTGATTTGTTTTTTCTTTACATTGTGTATCTTCATCAAAGTCTTTTTTCGGGGGGGTTGAGATAGGGTCTCACTTTGTAGTTGAGAATAACCTGGAACTCACTATGTAGCACAGGCTGGTCTCGAACTCGCAGCAATCCTCCTTCCTCTCCTCCTGAGTGCTGGGATTACAGGGGTGCGCCACCACGCCCAGCTCTGCATCAAAGTTGTTACAACTCACTTCGTCGAAATTACGAAAGAATCTGTCTTACGAACATTCTCCCAGAATAGAGCTTATTTGCAAGTCTAGGATTTAATGCACTTGAGTCTATTGAACACTTTTCTCAAAAAAGTATCCATCAATTTTAGCATTGATTTGGGATTCTTAACATTTTACTTTGATAAGGAGAGACATTTATAGCTGAATGGATGCACATTGATGCCATACTCTTAAGTAAAATGAATAGGATACAAATGTATAAATACCAAATAGTTTCTCTGGTGTGAGAAACTGAAAGTGTAAATGAAGACCAAAATATATAATAGCTATTGTGAAATGGAAAGAAAAACTCCAAAGGAGAAGAGGAAGTAGGAGGGGTAGGGGAAAGGAAAGTAGGGAAAGAAAAGAATGTGTGAAAAGAAAGGAAAAAAAATGGAAAGAATTTTTTGTAAATAGGGAGGGGGAGGGGTGGAAGGGAGGGAAGGGAAATGGAGAACAAAGAAGAACCAAGATATATTATGCACAGGTACAAATTCCCTATGCTGAATGTAAGCATTATGTATACCTAATATTTACCACAAACATAATAAAAAACATTACTATGATATTTTTATAATACAGACGTTACTTGTTTTTTGACCAAGATCCATTACCGTGATTAGGTTGTTAAATGAGAAAGTATATATAGCACGTACGTTACAATATGTATTCAGAACAAAGAAATGGTCAATGAAAACTCCAACTTCATAACTTTCTTTTTGTTTGCATAACTCTTACGTGCAGCACTGTAATGCATAACAGAACAGTCCTGTATTATAGCACTGTATAAGGTGTACTTTACAACAGAAAGACATTGAGGCTGTACAGCGTAGATGTACAGAACTTTACCAAAAAAAGTTGAGTTGTTAGTCTGAGCAGCGGGTCATAAATCCATTTGTTAAACAGGTAGCTTTTTAAACAAGGAATGTCTGTAATAATTTTCTTGTCACATCATTCCTCTACATATTTAGTTTGCATTCTGCTATAAGAAAGAACATTTCTTTGTTCCCTATTTATTTATTTAATTATATAAGTATGGAATCATAGATTCTTACTTTACACAAAAGACTTTGATTCTTACTAGAACATGTCTACTTATAAATACATGTTTGTTACTTTGAGAATTTACTTTTGGCATAATAGGATATTTTAGATTTAATTTGTACTTTGCCTGTCCCCGCCCTGGAATCAGTAATCCCTCCAAGGAGCCTAGTTTTCCCATTTATTCTTTGCTTTTGTTTTAGCTATTCCAGCATAAACTAAAAACAAAAATTTCAAGCACCAAAGCTGAGCATAATGGTATGTGCTTGTACTCTCAGTATTTGGAAGGCTGAAACAGGAATGTCTCCAGTTTGAGGCCAGCCTGAGCTACTCAGTGAGATCCTGTCTGAAAGAGAACAATCATAATCTAAGCTTTTGAGATGTCTTTAGGTATACATAGAAAAAAAACTTATATGCAATGATAATATTATAGATTGCCACTAATTCTACTAAGCTATCGTTTGATTTGCTGTGTTTTCATTCACTGATGGTGATATCCTAAAACATTTATGTCTAATAGGGTTGTTCTGACAAAGGGTGTTTAAAATGAAGTTCCTTACCACAGAGTGGGCTGACCATTGCAATGCTAGGATGATTTACAGCAATGAAATTTGGGTGTCGTTGCAGGTCATTACCAGCCATATCTGAAGCTTTGCCTTTCAAATCTGTTAATCAACATTTCCATATTCCAGAAGAGAAGAAGAAAGAAGCTGTAAGACTCTGAAATAAGATGGTGGTGGTGGGTGGGGAAAAAAAAGATTTTCTGTCAGCTAAATTTTCAGTATCAGTTACTATTATTTCTTATATAGTTGTTAAATATTCTCAAAGGAAATCATACCTTATACAGTCTGAGAAAGACTAGATGCATACTCAGGTATATAATCAACTCTCATTTTCTCTAACTCTCCTATTTAGATGGAGATATTAAAAGATGGTTATGCCATTATTGAAGACAAATATAAAAATCTCCTTGACAGTTATTTACCTACTTTGAAAGATGAATGCAAAATCTTAGCTTCATCTGTGGACCAAGATAATGGAGATTGTGGGTAAGTAACCTTGTGAGCAATGTTTTGGTGATGAAATATAATATGGTGTGCAGTTATATTAAAGGATGACATATATTCTTAAATAAACAAAAATGCTTTCCTTCAATTACAAAAGTAACACTACTGACTTCCTGTCAGTACATTATGCATTCTGCTTTTTCTTAGTGGTATAATGGTACTGTGGTACCCCTTATGACTCCCAAAACACTCTTGAAAAATAATTTGACTTGTGTACAAAATAGTGCAATCTTTGAAGAAATATGGTATGAAAACATAGCTTACTTAATATACGTATATGATCAATGCCTATGTTACATGTCAGCAATAGCCAGTTAAAAAATCTTGTAAAAAAAATCCCATTCAAAAAAACAACAAAAAATTTAATAAAAGTATGGAGAGCCTATTTGGGAAAACATGCCTACAAATTTGAAAGTTTTTGTACATGAATGTCACTTTATTGAGACATAATATTCATACATTTGTATATGGTACATGATGCTACTTAAATACATGTTTACAATAGGCAGTAATCAAATGAAAGCAATTAGCATTTCCATCTCTTCAATGGTTAATCATTTCTATTTGTTGGAAATTCCACGCTGCTCTAAGCACTTTGAAATATACCACAGAGTGTTTTAATGAATAGCTATCTTATAGTGCTGTAGAAAACCAAAACTAAGTTCTCTTCTATAACTATGTTTTGGTGTCTCTTATTTGCCCTCTTTCTGTCCCCTTTGCCCTACCCTTCCCAGCTTCTAATGATCACCATTTCACGCCATTCTTCTACAACATTGACATTTTAGTTTCCACAAATGACTCCAGTTTCATGGTGTTCCTGCAAATGGCAAGATTTCATTCCTTGCCAGAACTGAATAATATCCAGTGTGCATTTTGTATATACATAATCTATTGTCCATCCACTGATGCAAATCTAGATTGAATACAGTTTTCAGCTACTGTGAACAGCATTGCAATAAACTTGAAAGTACAAGTAGTTTTGGTAAAATAATCTCATTTTCTTTGTATATATAACAAGCAGAAGAATTGCTGGATCTTATGGTAGTTCTATTTTAGTTGTTTCTCCATAATGTTCTGCATAATGGCTATTCTAATTTATATTAATACCAACAGTATCGAACAGTCCCCTTTCTGTGCATCCTTTCCAGCATTTATTTTTAATTTATTTATTTATTGTCTTCTTGATGATACACATTCTAACTGGAGGGAGATGTTATGCCGTGATTTTTTTTCAGAGTTTATTGTAGCTTTTTAGGTGTACAGTACAGTTGCATTCATCATTGGGATATTGTACCTTCACATGAAATGTCCTGGTTCTCATTTTTTCCCCATACCCCTGCCCTCCCTTCACCCCTTCCCTATTTACAAAAACTTTGTTTCCATATTTTCATTTTTTCATATTTTTTTCTTTTCCCTTATTTCCTTTCCCCTACCATTCCCTCTTCGCCTACACCTTTAGCCCTTTTCTTCTTATTTCACATTGTCAATTATACCATTTGGATCTTATTAACATTTTTAGTTTTTCACACTAGAGAAACTATTCAGTATTTACACATGTGTATCTTATTTGTTTCACTTAAGAGTATGGCCTCAATATGCATCCTTTTTCCTATAAATGACTCTAGTTTCTCATTCTTTCTGGCTAAGTAGTACTCCATTTTATAAAAAAAACACACATCTTCTTTATCGTCTAAAATTGATGGGCAATTGGACTGCTTCCAAGTTTTAGCTATGACAAACTGTGCCACTATAAACATGGGTATGCAAATATCACTGTGCTGTGATTCTTTTAATTCTTTTGGAAAGATACGCAGCAGAGGGACAGGTGGGTCAAATGGAACCTGTACTCCTAGTTTTTTGAGGTATCTCCATATTAATTTCCATAGTGGTTGCAGCAGTCTGCACTCCCACCAACAATGGAGAAGGGTTCCTTTCTCCCCACAACCCCGCCAACATTTGTTATTGGATGATTTCTTGACAACAGCCATTCTTTGTGGGGTGAAGTTGAATCTCAGAGGTGTTTTCATCTGCACCTCTAGAATGACCAATGATGTGGAACATTTTTTCATATATTTACTTGCTGCTTTTACTTCTTTGTCTGAGAAATGTCTGTTCATTTCAGATGCCCATTTTTGAATCAGGTCTTTATATATTATGGGAATGATTTATTTGAGTTCTTCACATATTCTAGATAATAACCCTTTGTCTGAGGAGCAGCTGGTAAAAATTTTTCACACATTATATGTTGTCTTTTAGTTCTGTTGATAGTTTCTTTTTCAGTGCATAAGTTTTATAAGATGAGATCCTAGTTTTTAATTTTTTCTGCGAGTTCCTGGGCTACTAAGGATTTGTTCATAAAGTCTTTTCCCATGCCAATGTCTTCAAGAGTTCTGCCTAACTTATCTTCCAGCAAGTTTAGTGTTTCTGTTTTAGTATTTAGATCTTTAATCCGCTTGGATTTTAATTTAGTGCATGGTGAAAGATAAGGGTCTAGTTTAATCTTTGAAATCCATTTTTTTCAACACCATTTATAAAAGAAGCTATCTTTCCTTCAGTGAGGATGGTTTGCTCCTTTATCAAAGATGAGGTAGCGGAGTATATCTGGAGTTGTTTTTGTATCTTCCAATCTATTCCACTGATCCTCAGGTCTGTTTCTTTGCCAGTACTATGCTGTTTTTATCATAGTGGCTTTGTAGTATACTTTCAAATTGAGACTTGTTATACCCGATGCCATGTCTCTGTTGCCTAAAATGGCTTTTGTTATTCCAGGCCTCTTCTGATTCCAAATGAATATTTGGATTAGTTTCTCTACTTCTGGTGAAATATACTGTTGGAATTCATTCAGCATTGCATTGTATCTGTATAGCACTTTTGGTAGTATGGTCACTGTCACTATGTTGATTCTTCCTACCCAGGAGCAGGGTTTATCTTTCCATTTTCTTATATATTCTTCAATCTCTTTTTTCAGAGTCCTGTAATTTTCAGTGTAGAGGTCTTTTGCTTCTTTCATTAAATTGATTCCTAGATACTTAATTTTTTAATGCTATTGCAAAAGGAATTGTTTCCCCAGTTTATCTCTCAGTGAGTGTGTTATTTGTGTACAAGAAAGTACACAAATTTTTTATTTTTGAATGTTGACCTTGTATCCAGCTACTCTACTGAAAGTGTGAATTAAGTCTAGAAGTCTTTTGGCAGAGTTTTCTCAGTCTTCTATGTAGAGTATCGTATCATCAGTAAATAATGACAGTTTAAATTCTTTCTTTCCTATCTTAATTACTTTAATTTCTTTCTTATGTCTAAGTGCTGTGGCTAATGTTTCTAGAGCTGTACTAAACAGGAGCAGTGGGTAGTGGATAGCCTTGTCTTATTCCTGATTTTAGCTTGAAGGTTTTCAGTTTTTGGCCTTTTAATATGATTTTGGCTGTTGGTTTTTCATAGATATCCTTTATTAAGTTGAGATATAGACCATCTATTCCAATTTTTTGAACGGTCTTTATCAGCAATGGGTGTTGAATTTTGTCAAATGCTTTTTATGCATCTATTTACAGGATTGAATGGTTTTTGTCCTTGACTCTGTTAATATAGTGAATTACATTTATTGATTTATGTATGTTGAACCATCCTTGCATCCCTGGAATAAATCCGACTTGGTCAGGGAGTGTGATCTTCTTTGTGACCCTCTGTATTCTATTTGCCAGTATCTTATTAAGGATTTTTACATCAATGTTCATTAGGGAGATTGGCCTGTAGTTCTCTTTTTTGGTTGGGTCTTTCCTTGGTTTGGGAATCAAATTAACACTTGCTTCCAGGAATGAAGTGTTGCTTCCCTTTTGGTTACATTGAAAAGTTTAAAGAGTATTAGCAGTAGTTCTTCTTTAAATGTCTTGTAATATTCAGAAGTTAATCCATCAGTACCTGGGCTTTTATTTGTTGGTAAACTTAATTACATATTCTATTTCACTGATTGTAATTGGGGTGTTTAGAATTTTTTTATCTTCTTCCTTCAATTTGGTAATTCATACGTATCTAAAATCTGTCCATGTCTTCTGTCTTTTCCATTTTATTAGAGTACAGGTTCTCAAAGTAGATATTGATGAACCTCTGGATTTCTGCTGGATCTTTTTTGATTTCACATTTTCATTCCTAATTGCATGGATTGAGCCTCTTCTATCCTTTTTTTGACAAGGTTGGCTAAGGGTTTGTTGATTTTATTTATTCTTTCAAAAAACCAACTTTTCAATTCATTGATTTTTTGTTTGAGACAGGGTCTCACTATGTAGTTGAGACTGACCCGGAACTCACTATGTAGTCCAAGCTGGTCTCAAACTCACACCAATCCGCCTGCCTCTGCCTCCCGAGTGCTGGGATTACAGGAATGCACCACCACGTATGGCCATTGATTTTTTTTTTGTATCATTTACTTGATTTCCATTGTATTGATTTCTGCTGTAATCTTTATAATTTTCTCCCTTGTATGTGCTTTGGGTTTGTCTTGCTCTTCTTTTTCTAAGAGTCTAAGATTCATCATTAGGTTGTTTGTTTCAGCTCTTTGTTTTCCTAGTGTGGGCATTCACTACTATGAATTTTCCAAGTAGAACTGCTTTCGTTGTGTCCCATAGATTCCTGTATGTTGTACTGGCATTATCATTTCTTTGTAAAAACTGTCTAATTTCTTCTTTAATTTCCTCTATGACCACTTGATTGTTCAGGAGAGTGTTGTTCAATTTCCATTTGTTTGTGACGTTCTTACAGTTTCTTATGCCATTGATCTCCAGATTAATTGCACCATGATCTGATAATATACATGGGATAACTTTGATTCCTTTGCATTTATTTAAACCTGTTCTATGAGCTACTATGTGGTCTATTTTGGAGAATGACCCACGTGCAGCCAAAAAGAATGTATATTCTTATTTTGTGGGGTGGAACACTCTATAGAGATCTGTTAAGTCCAGATGTTCAAAAGCTTGGTTCAGTTCTAG